TTGTCGTGATAGACAAACAAACGTTCCTCCTGGCACAAGACAGGCAATGCTGTTAACTACGCCACGTTTACCCTGGACCTGGAGGTGGTAAAAACCTGATGTTAAACTCAATGTCATTGCCGTTCTTTTTACATAAGATGGCACGAATGAATTGGCTAGGAGGCTGAGAGCGTTTAAGCGGTGATGATTATATATGCTCATCGAAAGGAATACGCATGATCAGGGTGTAACAAAGCGGGCGCATGCGGTTAGCACGAGCAATGCCCTGTTGACCCCAGAGTCGGTCCTTTTTTACGTCTACCAACCCAAGTAAATATCAAGCCTTGGACACTCATCCAAAGCTCGGAGTTGCATGCATCGGTCAGAGTTTAGTAGACAGCTTTCACCACATCCACTTCGTCGGAAACAAGCAGATTTAAGCTTCTGTCGGACATCGGCCAGCATAAATCAATATCTGCAGATGAAACCATTCTGAGATGATAACGGGATTGTATGCGCATTTCCTGTTAACCATATGTGAAACCCCATTCAGAGTTCAGTGGCAGAGACAGAAAAACAATATCAATCTATGGCAAAGAAGAGCATCAAACGCCACAACATAAGACAAAAAGTTCCTTGCCAGAGGATAGTGTCCTTCGAGCCCTTGACATCCATCTAAAAAAACAGTCGAGCTTGCGACCCCTCGGAGCTGCCCGGCGACCCCACCCACCGCCGCCCGTGCGGTGCGAATGTCGGGACGGCAGGTCACGACCCAGTCGCCCGCGGCGGGTGCACGGAGCGCGGCAAAAAGTGAAAGTCACTGACCGGCGCGTTGCGGCACGGGCGCGGCCAGCGGCGCCCCGGGGCGGCTAACGGGACGCGGGCGGGGCCGACCGGCCGCGGCGCCGGGCGGCGGGGTCACACGGCGCGGCGCGGCGGCGGCGGACGCGCACCGTACGGCAGGTGAGTCGGCTTCCGGGTCGGACGGGGCGCCGTCAGGGGGCGATCACTGGGGCCGCTGCTGGGGCCGCCACTGGGGCATCGCTTGACGACGACGACGGTGCCGTGTCGAGAGACGTTTGCCTAGACGGTGCGGCGGGGTGAAGGGAGCTCCGGCCAAACAACTGCTGCGCGGAGGTCACTGGGTATGAGGCAACACGAGGGCAGTAGCCTCAGGTGCGGCATCGTACAGGGGACTAAAATCTAACCTCAGGAGCGGCTGCGCACCTCCACCTGCGGGATCTAACCATCCGTCTGTGTCGCTAGCGACCACTGGAGATCCGGCACAGCTCCTGCGTGGATCGGTCCCGGCCGGGCTGCGGAGCTGTCGGCGACAATCCATCAGACAGGGCGGAGCGCCAGCGGCGACGGTCCGTCAGGTGGGCGCCAGCTCGTCACGGCCCAGCGGCGAGCGGCTGCCGAGGCGCGGTGGTCGGCACTCAGGTGGACCACGTCAGTGGGCCCCGCTCTCCGGTCGCGAGAGGTCATGGCGCTTCGCCGGGCGGCGCTGCCGCTGCTGTTGCTGCTGCTGTTGCCGGTCGGACTGACGGCCGCGGAGCAGGTCGTGGAGGCTTCTGGCGACGGTGAGGCGGCCGACGCCGTCGTGGACAGTGGTGTCGAGCAGGACATGGTGGGCGAGGAACTAATGCGGTTCGAGCCGAGCGCTGATCCGGGGCCGGGGCCGGGGCCGGAGCCGGAGCCGGAGCCGGAGCCGGTGTCGGCCAGTGATGCGGCCCAGAGGGAGGACCTGGCCACCCGGCCCAAGCAGGCCAAGAAGACCGAGGAAGCGACGCGAGAGCAAGAGCTGAGGCCACAGCCGCGACCCACCTCAGCCACCGGACTGATTGCAAGTAAGAGCCCGTGCACGTTGGCTAGTAAGGATGAGCATGTGAGCTTCATGGCATTATTTATTTTTTTAGTGCCCTGCTATCCTTCTGTTAAGCTGTCGGGTGATTGATCTTTGCAAGTTTTGGCCTACGCTGCTTTACTCGGAAACCAAATGTTTCAATATTATTTTGGCATATTTTTAGGCATTTCCGTGGCTTTGAACTTCACGGCTATACCGTAGATGTATTTGTTAGCCACTGGGAGAGCTTTTTGCTTGGAGGCAATGGCAAATATCGGCGGAAAGTAAGTCGGACCTAGCCTGACTTGACAGTTGCACGCGTATCCGAACAACATGAAGCCACCAATGGAGGATGCTGAGAGGTTGTGATGAAAACATGCCAGAAATTGCACTTTGAATGATAAAACATGAGAACAAGAGTAAGTTTGATGTAAGTTGGTGTGGTCGCTGTCACATCTGTCTCAAGGCATTCTCCGTCCATGCTGAAAAATAATGCAACTCCAATACGTCTTCGAAGGAAATGACTGAATCGATGCAATAAAACACTGTAAAAATATTTTTAAAACTTCAGCTTCAGCTTCAGCTTGAGCTGCACCATGGCAATACAACATTAGACAGGGTGATTGTTTCTAGTGGGAGTTGAGTACGCACGTTGGCTGGTTGGTTTGCGAATCTTCAAAATGCCTCCATTTTAGGCCCGGTTGTTATCCACTGCTATTTTTACCAGATGACTGCTAGATGGTATCAGGGATTTTGCCTAGCCACCCCCACGACAGCTCCGCAAATCCGTTTCCTCGATTCTTATCTGTTTGCGCGGGACATGAATTTCCACTCACACAGTACAAAAGACTACAACACCTGCCGGTCAGTATCAGAGACTGCAACGTCCAGCCCGCCCTAGCGAAGACCTCAACGCACCGGGAGGCCAAATGAGCGCATGGTGCCGTCCCGAAAGTGGGCATGTCTCGCGACTACGATCACCATTAACGTGACATACGCGACGACAATGTGGCGTCACGGGGTCAGGGGTCACAAAAATACGTCCGGTGGCCTGCGCTAAAAACTTGGCATTGTCCGTGTAATTCAACACATTTCAGACAACACAAACGCCGCACGACATCGTAGTTCACGGTTTGCGCTCCGTGGCGCCACCGCATTACCACACCGCGGTGAGCCGCCGACGGGCCGCGGCTCGGCCGTCGGCGGCCTGCCGTGCGACTCGGCGGCGGCGGGCGGCCGGCCGGCGCTGTTTTGGCTCAGTGGGTCAGGCTGCCGGCGCAGCGGACCGGTGCGGCGTGCGAACGCTCCGGCCGCCGCCGCCGCGCCGCTGCCACAGCCGCCGCCGCCGGGCCGGGCACATGGCTGCTGGCGGCCGGGCATGATGGCAGTCTCGACGGTGTGGTGTGTTGGGGAAGCCTGGTGACTGGTGGGAGCCCCGACAGGGTGGTGTGCTGGGGAAGCCTCGTGACTGGTGGGAGCCCCGACAGGGTGGTGGGCTGGGGAAGCCTCGTGACTGGTGGGAGCCCCGACAGGGTGGTGCGCGGGGAAAGCCTGGTGACTGGTGGGAGCCCCGACAGGGTGGTGGGCTGGGGAAGCCTCGTGACTGGTGGGAGCCCCGACAGGGTGGTGGGCTGGGAAGCCTCGTGACTGGTGGGAGCCCCGACAGGGTGGTGCGCTGGGGAAGCTTCGTGACTGGTGGGAGCCCCGACAGGGTGGTGCGCTGAGGAAGCCTGGTGACTGGTGGGAGCCCCGACAGGGTGGTGGGCTGGGGAAGCCTCGTGACTGGTGGGAGCCCCGACAGGGTGGTGCGCTGGGGAAGCCTCGTGACTGGTGGGAGCCCCGACAGGGTGGTGGGCTGGGGAAGCCTCGTGACCGGTGGGAGCCCCGACAGGGTGGTGGGCTGGGGAAGCCTCGTGACTGGTGGGAACTCCGACAGGGTGGTGGGCTGGGGAAGCCTCGTGACTGGTGGGAGCCCCGACAGGGTGGTGCGCTGGGGAAGCCTCGTGACTGGTGGGAGCCCCGACAGGGTGGTGCGCTGGGGAAGCCTGGTGACTGGATGTACTCGAGCGTCAGCGGCGCTAGAACCGGGAGTTACGTAACAGATGTGGAATAATGCGCCGTGAAGGCAGCAATTTGGCGCAGATTAACTGTGGTGAATTTTGGACATTTGTGGCATCTTAATGCTCAAACACGATAAATACCATGTGCCTCGTGGCTGGTCTATGTATCTCTATATTCTTAAATATGTTTATCAGTACTTGGTCTTTAATGTTGAGCCTCATATCTTTTCACTAACAGCAGGACTTAGAATATAATTTGCTGTCAATGTTATACACTCACATATGATTTTAGACAATCCCTGGAGTTATGCAATAATCTAGAATCGAGCGCTTAAGGATCTTTGTCTTACAAGGAGTACCCTGTCTGATGCGGCTTCCTGCAGATGCATACTGTGCGAATGACCCATTGTTCAAGAATAGGGTCAAAAGAGCTTAATTGCCAGATGTCATTAATTCTTCATGTTGCTTTGAGGAACCATTTATGCTGAACTGTTTCACAACCACGTTACTAAGAAGGTTGAACGCGTGCAAAGATAACAATAAATAGCAAACTGTGCATGTTTCCCATTACCTGAAATGGTAGCGAGCACGAGCGATGGCTATGCAATATTCCGCCATGTTCATGGGCGGCGGTCGGCACAAAAATGCGAGGAAAAATATTAGCTCAGTCTCTCTGCCACACCAAACCTTTAAATCACGTATTATATTCAGCAGCCTGTCTGTCTGCCTGCCAGCCCGTCTGTATGACCGCGTTTCCCTCGCCGGACGCAGAGCGCAGATGCTTGCGTGGATTGTCTTGAAATTTGCATATATTACGGGTTCAACATTCGTGACGACCTTGAGATAAACTGACACCCGTCCTGGCGTCGGCCGTAGCGCGCGCAAAAAGAGGGAGTGTTTTGGTATTTGGCAGGGAAACACTTCTTGCGCCTGTAGGGGAAACAAGATGTGCCAAGATAGAGCCGTTGAACACATATTTCAAAGCTCTAGCAACGATGAAAATAGCATTTCGCCAACTATGAGACTTTTAATTGATACAGATGCAGAAATTTAAGAAAAAATACTAAGCGAACGCTTTGCAACAAATAGAGATGCCAGCAAGCATGGACCACAAATAGATTATATATGTTCCATGTCTAGAGTGTGCAAAACCGCGGTTGCACGGGCAGTGTGTTTGAGTGATCTGTGAGTGCCAGCAGATTGGAAATGAATTTAGGGATGTATATATATATATATATATATATATATATATATATATATATATATGTATGCATGTTTGTATGTATATACATACATACAAACATGCTGTTGAGACACGAGTCAACGTTACGCCTTTGATACACAGGAGCTACCTCCGCTAATAGAGTCGCCTTTCCGCGCAGCGAAGCAGGCGGGAACCTCTTTTAAAATTGATAAACAGGCTTGCTTCGTATTCCAAGATTTCGAAGGCACTTTTTAGTAGTAGTATCTTTCATGGTGAGACCTTGAATAACTATTTTGTTACAAGCTACCACTAACAATGCAATACCACGTGGCTGCTTACCACCGTCATGTTGAAAAATATGAAAACCGTGGAAAGGCGGTCAAATGGCTTTTTATGTTTGTGAGCTGACTAAAAAATAAGTTTTTGATCTACAAAAGAAATCCTGACATAGGTTGGGCTTTCATTGATGCTTTCATTAAGATGCCAAAAAGTGCCTACATATAGTCAACGTAATTATACGCATCTTTTCCTGAGATACTATCCGTACTTAACGTCATCCTAGCCAAACTAACATTTAGCGGCTCATTTCTCAACCCCACTGACGGGAGCAAACCTCATGACATAGACGAGAGCCGACGAATTTGGGCCGAGAACATATCGACGTCCTCACATCCGCATTGGAAGGAAAAGCGAGCTATTAGCTGACTCAACGCGAAAGAAACAAAGTTTGGATGTTACGTAGGATTGAGAAACAATGGGGTGGGCCCAGCGGCACTGTGACGTCACCTGAGTGCACCTTTGTGTGGGGTGTGTGAACAGGAATGCACTGATGTGGTCTGTGTCCTGTAACTAGAATTTGAATGCACCTTTCCGTAACATTGTTGCTTGGGTGTAGAGGCCGTGGAAACTTTATATAGCTTGGCCCAGTAGCATTGTCTGGGCGCTTGTAAAGCAATGGGTGGTTCGTAAAGCAATACAGCCCCTCTTTGTTTTACCAAAGAATACGAAAACCGTTAGTTGTTCATGTCAACACAGGTATCAATTCAAAATTAATGCATCTATTCGACTTAAACGACTAAAATGCTCTCAAGGGGTGTGAACAGCACGAGCCTATCCAAGCCCCTGATTTTAATGAGAGATCGGATTATGCCGTAGCTTTCCTACCCTCACTATCTCCGTGAAGGCAATGTTATTTTGGTCGAGGCCCTGAGCTACAAAAACAAACACATTTAACCAAAACTGCGGACGGTGCTACTGAATCGGTACCGGCGTTTCTTAGGAGTGCCAGGGCTGGCCATGCCAGTCCTGGCACTCCACTCCATGCCAGTCCATGCCAGCCAGTCCCCCGCCCCTCCCCCTCCCCCCACAAGAATGTTGGTCTTTATACAACATTTTTTCCATCTGGTGTGCCGGTGCGGTGTAGGTTTGGTGCTACTGCTCACACTGAATTTGAATAAAACATGTCCTGTAGTATGGCAGCCTCCTAGTGCCCTCGTGAAAGCATTTTGCTCCCCGAACCACCCCTACTGAAGCAGTTTTGAAAGTTGCCGTATCAATTTAGCCGTACGCTTGTCTACGCGGCGCATTAATTGCTCTGGACTTCTAACGAAAAGTGAATTACCCATTCGTCGCATCTCTCTGGTCTAGCTTCCATTCTTTCACCCGGTCGACACGAGACGGTTGTGCTAGATGCTTCCCGTTAATGCGTTGAACTGCAAAAGCTTAACTCCACGTAAGTAA